GCAATTCTCCTGCCTCAGCCTCCTGAGTAGCTGGGATTACAGGCACGTGCCACCATGCCCAGCTAATTTTTTGTAGTTTTAGTAGAGACAGGGTTTCACTATGTTGATCAGGATGGTCTCGATCTCTTGACCTCGTGATCCGCCCGCCTCGGCCTCCCAAAGTGCTGGGATTACAGGCTTGAGCCACCACGCCCAGCCCGAAACAACTTTTTATTTATTTACTTATGGTTTATTTGTTAAAGAAACCAGGTTATTCTGTTGAATTTCCCACATTCTATATTTGACTGATTCCATCTTTGTGATGTGATTACATTTATTAATTAATTTATTTATTTTTATTTACTTATTTATGTATTTATTTTTTCAAGACATAGTCTCACTCTATCACTCAGGCTGGAGTGAGTGGCACAGTCACGGCTCACGGCAGCCTTGACTTCCCAAGCACAAACAATCCTCCCACTTCAGCCTCTCTAGTAGCTGGTACCACAGGCATCTGTCACCTCACCTAGCTATTTTGGTTTTGTTTTTTGTAAAGACAGGGTCTCACCTTTTTGCCTAGGCTGGTTTTGAGTTCTGCCCACCTCAGCCACCCAAAGTGCTGGGAATAAAGGCATAAGCCACCACTCTTGTCCTTTATTACAATTAATATGTTCATTTATCCTGTGTTTCCTGTAGACTGGTTATTAGGTTTAAAGCCTTAGGTGATGCTGTGTGCTTCCTGTTGCATTGCATCAGGAGGCGTATATGTCTTCTTGTCCCTCTTTTACTGATGTTAACATTTGATCAGCGTGTTTGGGTATTATAAACCTGATTCATCTATCATATATTTCCCCATTGGACTTTCACCTTAATGTTTTTAGCTGCCATTGATAATAGTCGTCTAGATCTATTTTTCACTGGGGAATTGCGAAATGGTAACATTGTAATTCTGTCATTCCTTTCACATTTATTAGCTAGAATTCTTCTATAAAAGACTTTGTTTGCCTCCTCCACCACTGGGTTACCCTTTGGGGAGTGGTATCAAATGCTGAATTATTTTCCTGTTTTCCAGTTTTCAAGTAATAAGCTGGTTTCCTAGCAAGTCCAATAAGTTTCCTTTTTTGTTATCATTGATGTTATCATTATAAATTTGTAGATTTTAATTTTTTCTTTTTGAGATGGAGTCTCGCTCTGTTGCCCAGGCTGGAGTGCAGTTGCATTATCTCAGCTCACTGCAACCTCCACCTCCCAGGTTCAATTGATTCTCCTGCCTCAGCCTCCTGAGTAGCTGGGACTACAGGCATGCGCCACCACGCCTGGGTAATTTTTTTGTATTTTTAGTAGAGACAGGGTTTCACCATGTTGGCCAGGCTGGTCTTGATCTCCTGACCTCATGATCCACCTTCCTCAGCCTCCCAAAGTGCTGGGATTACAGGCGTGTGCCACCACACCCTGCCGATTTTAACTTTTTTTTTATGTGTTTCTACCCATCATGGTTATTCTCTCTTTAATGCTCAGATTGTCCCATGTTTGGCCAGTTGGCTCCTATATTCTTTTGACTGATTTCACTAGCTTCCTTGCTTTCTGGTGTGACAAGATGTTTCAGGCTTCTTTTTTACATTTCCCATCTAGACTAAAATCAACCATTTTTCCGTGAAGGCCTTGTTCCTTTTGGAGTGAAATGTTACTTGCAGACACAATCAGATCTCTAAATAACATGTGTTCATTGCTATTGATTTGATCATTACTTCTAGACAAAATTTTTTTTCTTTTTTCTTTTTACTTGAGTCTATACTGGGAAGAAATGTTTTTGTTTTTGACAGATAAAAATACATCACAAGTTTATACTGAGGTTTTTAATTTAAATTTAAGATTATAGAGTTTTACTTCTTGGTTTTTTAAGATTGCAACTCATTCTGACCAGAAAAATTTGGTTCCTAAAAACATTATATCCCAAAATATAGTTTTAAAATAACAATATTAATATTATTCTAATAATATGTTAGAATACTGTTTAAGATTTCTTGTTTTCTTTAAAAAAGTGAGTAAATCCATATATTTTTATATTTTTTCCTTTTTAAGATAAAAAGTATCATACTATACACACTGTTCTGCATCTTGTATTTTTTTACTTTACTGTATCTCATGGATATCTAGAGATCTTCCTCATTTCTTTTTATAGCTGTATAATAGTCCCCTGTTTGACTATATCATAGTTTATATAACCTGTCTCTTATCAATAGACATTTGGGCTATTTCCAGTTTTTTGGTATTAGTAATAGTGCTATAGTGATAGTCTGTGCATATGTTATTTTATAGTTTTGCTTGTTTATCTTTGGGACGGAACTCTAGAAATGAGATTGCTGGGTCAATATTTTGGTGGAGATGGGAGTTGGGGAGCAGATAGTAAAAAAAGTAACATATCTGTTTATTCTGTTTGGGCTGCTATAATAAAATACCATAATCTGGGTAGCTTGTAAACAACAGAAATTTATTTCTCATAATTTTGGAAGCTTGGAGTCCAAGATCAAGGTGCCAGCAGATTTAGTGTCTGGTGAGGGCCCACTTTCTAATTCATATGACGCCTTCTTGCTGTGTCCACACTTGGCGGAATGGGCAAGGCAGCTCTCTGGGACCTCTTTTGTAAGAACACTAATCCCATTCATAAGTGCCCACAACCTTCCAAAGGCTCCACCTACTAATACTGTCATATTGGTGATTAGATTTGAATTTTGAAGACACAAACATTTAGATCATGACAGTGCCTGGTAGGCGTAAGTACTTCTTTGAAGTACTTATAAGAAGTTTGATTTATCTTCCTATTTTTCTTTCCATACCCTTTCATTGCTCTTTAGTATTGTCACATTATATTTAGAAATATGGTAACACTTTGAGGAGAACTTAAAGGAGTTTTAATTTGTAGGTATAATTACATTTTTTCCTCTATTCTTCACCTCTTACTATACTCCCATAATACCTATTCTAGTATAGACCAGAGATTAGGTAAATTTAACTTGCTCAACATTTTTCTTAATTTCTTGCACTTTGTTCATCAACTTCAAGATATTTGGCCAATACTGCAAAATTTTTAAATCCCTGTAAAACAGTCCGTTACAAACTTTTATGATAAATCTATCATAAGCAAATCTCTCTTTGTTAGTTGCTGCTTGACTTTTTTATACACGATCTCCAGGTTTTTGCATATGGAAATACCTTTCCTCACTCCATGCAGCTTGGCTTCTTCACTATGTAATTGGTTTGTTTACCAATACCTCCTACCCCACTTTTGATTTTTAAAGCAATTATGTCTCTTCTTTTAGAATGTATATTTTAAAGTAAAATCTAACCCCAAAAAGAGATATTCTTACCGTTTTGGGCAGAAATCACATAGAATCTTTCCAACTTCAATATGCCACCCTCCTTTGACTATATCTCAGTGTTGGAGTATTTTTCATATCACTTCATTGCTACGTCATTCATTTTGGCTTGCAAGTTAGAAATCTCTGTAGGTTTTTTTCCTACTTATTTTTTAGAGATTTTCTGTATCTATACTTTGTTGGTTGGTTTTTTAAAATTAGGTATACTATCTTACGCCTAGTTTCTATTAAATTCTTTTTGTATATGATTAGGTAATCAATAGTGTATTGAATTTTTTTGTGTTTCAAAATCTTGCTAACTTATCTAAATAAAATTGGGTTGTGTTTTAATGATGTTTGTTGGTATTTTATTTTTCCTTGTTTAGGTTCGTAACGTTCTTAATGATGCAGTGGATTTACTGGAATTCCGTGATAGAGTCATTAAAGCATCTTTGAACTATGCGCATTTAGTGGTTTCAACATCTCTTCAATGTTACGTGTTCTCGTAAGCATCTTGCATTTCTTAAAAATTCAGAGTTTTGTCTGTGCTGAGAAGTTTATTTTCAGGATTTCACATCAGCATGGTTTGGCTTAAAGTTAACTTTCTCAAAACCTCAGCTGTCCTGAACTACCTCAAACCAGGAAGTGGGAGAAAGTGAACTTAGAGCAGCAAAAATACATCTAACAAGGTTTGTACATCAACAGCTAATAGTCAGGTGAGGCGAAATGGCTTATGCTTGTAATTTCAGCACTTTGGAAGACCAAAGCAGGAGGGTTGTTTGAGGCCAGGAGCTTGAGACCAGCATAAGTAACATAGTGAGACCCCCATCTCTACAAAAATTTTTTTAAATTACCTGGGCATGGTGGTGCACACCTGTGATCCCAGCTTCTCAGAAGGCTGGGATTGGAGAATTGCTTGAGCCCAGGAGACAGGGTGCAGTGAGCTGTGATCCTACCACTACACTCCAGGCTGGAGACCCCGTCTCAAATAATAAATAATGGCTTTAACAGTTGGCTTACAAAATTCCTGAAAACTTAATAACTAGTACAAGCTGGCTCTAGCGTACTACCAGTTGATTCTTCAACTATCCAGAAAACTCAAGTAACCATTATGATACTTTCAAGAGTTATACATAGTTAAGGATTTTTAAAAGTTTTGTCCTTGTATTTATAACATTATGTGGTTATAGTTTAGTCATTGAATATAAAATTGAGGATGGAGACTATACGTGTCTCATTCACCACTGTATGCCCAGCACCTAGCACAGTGCCCATGTTGTGGGTACTTAATGAATACTTTTGAATGAATAAATGAATTAAAATATGTAAAGTACTTTGTCATCTTAGTATCCTAAAGTCTAGTGGTACACAACACAAAGGTATTTAATTTAATTAACAACTGCTACAACTATATATTTTAAAATTCCCACTCATTATGTGTAAACCTGCTACTACTAATCAGAATCTGCAATTTGGGACAAATAGCCAAGTCTGGAGTAATGAAATAGAAGAAACAGAGGTGAGTGGATGAAGAAATAAGGAATTTAATTTTATATGAGGTTTTTTTTTTCCCCCTTACATGAGCGGGAAAGAGAAACAGTAAGAATTTGGGAAAATTCAAAAAAGATACCAAGTTAAGCAGTTGAGATATGTGGAAGGGATTATAGAATATGAGATCACGCAGTCTCTTTAATGCAGATAGGTGTGTGAATCATTAATTTTCATGGGGCAGGGGAGAACAGAAATCTCTTCAGTTTAGTGTTTGTTTGAAGAAAGGCCAGACTCTTAACTTTTCTATAATAACTTCCCTTTTATTCTACTAGTTATATGGCAAGGACATAATGTTTGAATCTGTAGGATTAGTATTGTTAGGTGTTACATGTATTAGAGAAGCTGTCTTTAAAAATACCCAAAGTTTAGTAGCTGTTAATTTTTTTTTTTTTTTTTGGTCACTCTGCTTTTTCCTTACCAGTTAATGTGTGGCAAATGTAAGACTGCTTTTCTTCTTTTGTAGTTGAACTTTGCCTCCCTTCTTTGATTGTCAAGACATTTATTAAGGTACAAAATATTTATTAGTACCAGGATGCAGCAGTGGTAATGAAATACCAGGATATAGTAGTGGGAATGAATCACCACCAAAACATATTTCATAAAATTTTAAAAACTTAGCATTTTAGATAATAATGATTATCATTTATTGAGCAATTGTTTTACTGTCTTTTATGTTTACTATTATTCTCATTTGAAAGCTGAAGCTAAAGGACATAAAAATGATTAGGTAACTTGCCTTACATCAGATTATTGACTTTGTTACTAAAGGAAAGCAGGAATTTGAATCCAAATTCTTAATAATTGTTGCCTCTTTTTTAGTAATAATAATATAATTCTAAAAACAGACATGCAAATACTTTACTGGTTTATATGAAAAGAAGTTCCAGAAAAAGCAAACAATATATAAGCATTCTACATTAAATTTTCATTCGATTTTTCAGATAATTATATTGAAAATATTCATGTTCTATTCAGCATTTATAGCTCAAGGAATTTATATTTTCATGGCATTTATATATATCAGTTGTCAGAAATCTCAGATTTTTTTCTGAAGGGACATTTAAAAAAAACCTCACGTAATCACTGCTTACCAACTCTCTTGACAAAGAATGAAGGTTAATTAATAAAGTATGCTGTGATATTTTTTCTAAAGTACAAAAGCATATCTTTATCATATCTATGAACCCCAAACTAATTAATAATCAGTAATTAGTAATCACTAATTATTAGCAGTAATTTATTTGTTATTTTGCTTTTTGCATGTATTTACTTACTGAAATGATTATCAGATTCTTTGCATTAACCAAGATCAGTTGCCTAACAGTTTGCTTACTCACTGTATTCTTCCCCTTCTCTCCTCAGTCTTCTGCATTTGAACATGAGATTTGATCTGATTTAGAGAATTGGTTTTATGAAAGTTACTGAGAGAAATTCAGAATATATAGAAGTAATAAAACTTATTTTAAACTGTGGAACAACTTTTATTATTTGAGGATTGGTTTTCCTGTTTGTAAATGTTCCCTTTACCCACCCCAATCTTTGATTCATGTTACCCTGTAAAAACAAAATGATTTATTTGTTCATTTATTCATCCATTCATTTAATAAGCATGTTCATGGCTTGCATTTATGTAGTATTTTAGAGTTTGCAGAATGCTTCAAAGAAATCCTTCTGTTTCAACCCAACAATAACTTTGGGAAGCCTGTAGGAAAAATAATCATGTTCATCATATTACTGTTATTACAGTTTCTGTTTGTCTGGTACCTGCTTTATATTAGGTAGTTTGCCGGACACTATGTAAGTCCTGGCCCATTATCCTCATTTTACAAATAAAAAACTAATGCTTAGCAGGTTAAGCTTGTTAAGATCAAGTGGCCGACAGGTGGTGAAACCATATTTCTAATCCAGATCTGTCTAACAAAAAGCTATCATCTCTTCATTATGCCATGCTGCTACTGTTTTTCAAATGAGAATCATGAGATGACTTGCCGAAACTCAGAGCCAACAAATGGCAGAACTCAGACTTATACTTAGAATTCCTCAATTCACATGTTGTAATACTACAGTGAGCATTTATTGGATGCCTGTTATGCGCAAGTTCTTGGGGATACAGAGTCTCTGCTTTTTAGTCGGGGATATGGACATATAAGTGAATAATTTCAGAACAATGCACCAAGTGCTATAATAGAAGTATGTATATAATTGCTATGAAACTGAAGTCACTTTATTTAAAATGAATACCTATCTACTTATTTTAAAGTATTCGGTATTTTAAAGGTTAATAATTATCCATTTTATTTGTCTTTTAGCACAAAGAACTGGAATACACCAATTATATTTGATCTCAAAGAAGGAACTGTTAGTTTAATTCTGCAGGCGGAAAGGTAATTTATTGTGTTTAACTATTGGATTTGGGGTTAAAATATCTCAAAAAGCACTCTTTAGTAAAAGCATCTAATTTAAAGAATGGTGTACTAGTCATTTAGAACTAACCTGTTTCTGTTATACATTTTAGAAGAAAAAAAGAATAAATAAGCTCTTTAAATCAGTGATTCTGAAACATTTTAATCTCTGAATTTCTTAACATTCTTAGAAAATTATTGAGGATTATATATGGATTATATATATCAACACTTATATTAGCAATTAAAACAGAAATTTTAAAGCTATTTATTTTAAATGATGAGAGTAAACTCATTACAAGTAAATATCAGAGTAATGACATGAGAGAATGAAAGCAACACAGGCAAATAACTATTAAAGAGTTTTTACCTCACAGTCCCCCTATTTTCCATTCTGTTCTGTTCTGTTCTGCTTTGTTTTAAATATTGGTTGAAACTCTGGTTTTGTGGGCCTGCTGGGCTGTGACCTGAAGTTTGAAAACTAGTTGTTTCTACATAAACATTCAGTGTATGCAGGACTAACAAATGCCAGGAAATTAACTAAGTAAATTAGGAATAGCTATTACTCAAGAACCTACACTTTTCCATGAAAACTGTCAGTCTCTTGAATACAGTGTTATTCTACTGAATCAGAGGAGGACTTAGACAGCTACAACCCAATAAAACTTGTTAAAAAATTATGAAAATATAATCGACAGTTACCTAAAATATCTACCCATAAAACATTTGTGCTAAAACCATGTACTTTATTACTCATCCCTTTACTTATTATGTAGGCAGCTCTTAAAAGTGTTTATTAGCAGGTTTTCTAGCCCACAGCTCTTTATAAATAGAAAACCAGAAGAAGAATGGTACTGGTGGGCTGTTAGAGGCTGGCACAATGACAGGAAGAAAAGTGACTGCCTGGCAAGGGAATATAGAAAAACCAACAGCACAGAACTGTGTGCCTGAGTAATGTAATGATTCTGAGCACCAACAGATTCTGATGAGTATCAAAGTTATCAGTTAAATTGTTACTGAAAAATGTGGTCACCGTATTGATGACCTTGAGTGCCCAAGAAAATATTATATCAACTTTTATGTAATTTATTTAATGAAATTTAAATATATGAATTACTTAGTTATACCATAAATTTTTTTAAGCCAGTCATTTTTGTAATTTAAAAGGTAAGATGTCAGCTATCTAAAAGACCGTATTTCTGAAATGCTTTCTACTCTATTCCAAATAAATTTATTTATACATTATTTATAAATGTATTTATTGAATATACTCTTAATAAAACGTATATTAATGGCATAAATAGCCAAAAAAATATAGTTACTACCTATCATTTGTCTTATTTATACACTTAGAGTTGCTTGCCCCTTGAAACAGGGTGTTTACTCACAAGTAGGTTAAAAGGTATAGTGTCTTGTTTGGAAAAGAAAAATGCTTTTAGTACTGAGACAGAGGAATACATACTAATATATGTCACTTTGTCAAGTTTAGCAAATGTAGTTTTCATAAGCCATTATGTATGACCAGACACGTGTAAGGGCCAAACCCTTCAATTAAATACACTACCTGCCAATCCTCAAGTATTAATTTAATTGAAGTGTGTATAATTGGTGTTCATTAGATACTAATTTTTCATTGGTTTTGGTGTTTATTTCCCTTTTGTTTCCATAGCAAAAAAAGAATAATTAGCAGTTCCTTAATCAAGAACCAGTTCTGAATCAAGGATATTAAAACATTAAACATAAGATTTTGAAAAGTAGTAATGTCTTCAGCATTAAGGAAGCAGGCATACCAATATAGTCATAGTATGTGTGTAAATCAATACAACTTTTCAAAGGGCAGTATAACAATATATATTTAAAAATTTTAAATGTATGCTCTTTAATCTAGTAATGCACTCCTAGAAGCTGTACTAAGGAAAATAAGTAGGGAAGACATATGGCAATGTATATACATTATAGATATTCTTTAAAACAGTGAATATTTTGAAACAAATGTATGTCAGGAATGAGTGAGTTAGTAAAGTTATGGAAGTTCATACTTTGGCATAGTTATCTCTATGGAGGTAGCATCTCAAGAGGTCTTTTGTTTTCTCTGTATTGCTTGAATTATTTTGTACAATATTCATAAATTTTCAAAGGAAAAATACAGCAGCCATAAAATATTTATGTTTTGAGTTAATAAAAAATTAACTACACAGAGCCCTATACCTTAAATATAGCTGTCAACACAGCAAATGACTCTGACCCTGCAGCAAAAATATAGGAATTTTTAGATGTGAATACATACTGATGGTCACCATATGATTTTAAAGTCACAACTGCCTTATTTATAATAAATGTTTGTCCTCATGGTAATTTTTTTAGTCATTTTCACTGCTTTAGACTTTAACCTGTATTGAATCTTTTTAATTATTTTTAGCATAATCTTTAGTTATAAAATACATATTAAAACTGTTTCATGAAACAAATAGCACCTGGCATTCAAATCACTGAATTATAAATTATAAGATTTTTTGATTGCCTTTGTATAGAATCTTCTTTAGGAAAGGAAATGAATTGTGGGTATAAGTCAGAATTTTAGTGTATAGGGTGGTGATTAGGGACATTTTCATTTTTCTTCTCCTACGTCATCATAAAATAAAAACCCAGAAAACAAACCAAAACAACCAATGCTGGCTTTCAATCTTTAAAATGTTTTATTCCTTATATATCTACACATTTATATGAATTGTAAGATTTAGATTTTTTCCCAAGGATAAACTATTCTGTAATATAAAAATGAAAATATAGTCCACCAATATTTGAGAATCTATTTCTATTCTTTATTTTTTAGACATTTTCTTCTTGTAGATGGTAGTAGTATCTATTTATATTCGTATGAAGGGCGCTTTATTTCATCTCCAAAATTTCCTGGGATGAGAACAGATATTCTGAATGCACAGACTGTATCTTTGAGTAATGATACCATAGCAATAAGAGACAAAGCTGATGAAAAAAGTAAGTACATTTTTATAATTTTTCCTGTCAAATATGAAATTTGTTAACATTATAAATTTTTCATAAATTAACTTACATTTTCTTATCTACCAATTCATTAACTTTATATCAAAAGAATTATGAGCTTTCTAATTTGTTTTCAAAACATGAGTTAATTAAGCAACTAAAATTGTCATATTTTATCCAGTTAATAGAACAAATAGATATCGTCACAACATCGATCAGTGATAAGGAAAACATATATATTCAGGATCTGTTGGTAGACAATTTGAACTCAATGTTGTGGTCCTAAAAATGTATATTAATGTTTAAGTTTTTGATCTTTTTAAATGTTCCAGGTTTCTTCAATTTGGTAACATAGTAAATACTGCACTTCATTGAACTATTTAGTTTGTTTATATTTTTAAATTAATATTTTTAAGTTAAGTGAAAGAAAGGTATGAATAACTTAAATTTTCTTTTTAAAAATCCAGGCCACATTAATACTTATGAGTAAATATAAGCATGTCAGGTGTTTTGGATTACATGGTACAATGAAACCATTTTATTAGGGCATATCTATATCACAGATTCACTCATCTAGTAAGTATTATTGAGTGCTTACTATGTGCCAACTACTTTTCTAGACGTTGAGGATACAATGGTGAACAAAATTAACAAATAAAAATTAAAATTTAATAAATATTTAATAAATTGTCACGTAATGATACAGGCTATGAAGAAGACTAGTGCAGGGTGAGACAATAAAGGGTTGTGAAGGTGAGGCAGGGGAATGACAGACAATCAAGTGCAAGGATTCTGAGGTGGGAGCAACCAGCATGTTAAAGGAATTGCCAGAAGGCCATGTGACTGGGTCAAATCAGCTAGCCAGAGAGTGGGAGGAGAGGACAATGTAGAGATAGGCAGGAACCAGATCATGTAAAGACTTGGCCATGGTAAAGATGTGGGCATGCAGGAAAGAGAGGAGGCAAGCATATTATCCTATGCTTGCCCTAAGTAAATGAGACAGAAGACAGGGAAAGAGGTCATTTGGAGGGGGCCAGTCTGCAAACCAAGAGTTGATTTTGGTCCTGGTATGTTTAAATCTTTCTTAGCCAAGAAGGGATGAGAGTGAACAATAGGATAAACCAGCCCAAGGCTTGGGAGAGAGGTTGGGACTAGAAATATGACTTTGGTGGTCATTGGTATACTACTAGTGCTTAAAGCTATAACACTGAATGAAATGACCTGAGAAGCAAGTGTATACAGAGAAGAGGACTAAACATAGCACATCAGTACTTAGGGATGAATAAAAGTAAGAGAAGCCCGTGAGGTAAGAGGAAAGTTAAGAATGAGTGATCCCAAAAACCTAGTGAAAAATATTATATATTAAATAATTGTTTCTCTCTGTTAAAATATATCACGAAATATTGTATATTACTGTTACCAAAAAATCTGACTTGAATATTAATTTTGTCAGTTCATACCACAGAAGACCTAATTCATGAACTAGGAACTGTCCTAATTTTTAATTTTCAGTACTTCAGATAATAGCACCTCTTATACTGATAGGAAATACAATTCTCCTAAATAGAGCTTTTCTATCTCTTCATGCCTTAGGCCTCCTCTGAGTGAAGACATTTGGTAATTTTTTAAAAAGGACTTTCTTTCTGGCTAAAAATGAGGAAAAGAGAATGAAATAAAATAATATCCGGATAGCAGACAGAATTAAGATAACTATATAATTGTAAAACTAATAGTAATTTGGAAGACAGATTTTTGTTTTCAATAAACGTAAGATTGAAAGTCCCTGTGATCACTATGAGTTGTCTGTGCTCTCCTTATTCAGTACCATGTATTTTAGATAAAAGCTTTAATAAAGTACAGGCATGCCCTGCTAACAACATTTTAGTCAACAACAGACTGCATATACCGTAAGATTGTAATGGAGCTAAAAATTTCCTGTCAGCTAGCAATGTCTTAGCCATTGTGATGTTATAGTGCATTACCTTTTTCTATGTTTAGTGTATAGTAAGTTATACTGTCTAGGTTTATATAAGTACACTCTATGATGTTCATACAATGATAAATTGCCTAACAGCACATTTCTCAGAACATATCCCTATCATTAAGCAAGGCATGACAGTATGTGTGATCCCAACTGAATACAATATACCCTATTCTGAAATTTTCTGTGGTTAATTCATATCTGGAACATATTTCATTCTTTAATCCATTGATAATTTGTAGAATTTTAAAACTATAAGAAATTATTAACATTTACAGAAATATGAATTTATAAGCCAATAAATTATCTGTTTTACTTCTGTAAGTTTAGATTGTTAGACAAGATAATTATGTAATTCTGTTTTGCTGTAAATATAAACTCAAAAAACTAAAATAAAATTATTGTAGAACTTGAGAGGGAAAATATTTTTGTACGTTCCTTTAAAAAAATAATATTTATTGATGGCTAAATAGTGGTAAGTGCTAACAATAGAAAATACAATTGAAGTACCCGACATATTTAACCCTTAGAAGGGTGCCATCTGTATTTGACATCACTAGTTCTTTCTAATTTGGGAACTTTTTTATTCTTGCATCAAGTGTAGTACTCTGTATTATAATAGGTGCTACATAAATAGATCTTGGGTGGGTTTGAGTACCCCTTTTGGTGATTAAGTACTAGAGCTGCTGTTTCTGCCCTCCTCCTTCTCCCTATTCACTTTGCACAGATATGCTATATTAGTGTGGGTGATTATTTGAAAGAAATGTCTAGAAGTTGGGGGATAGTTATTCATATTTAGAAGCAACTCTTTCAACTCACAGCTCCTTTGTTGTTCATTCTGCCAGTTTCTATTACATGTTAACACTGAAAAACAGGACCAGCCTCCCATACATCAGGTGCACTTGCAGTTGAGGAAAAAGTAGACGAGTTCATCTGCATATCCCTAGCTTTTTATATATATATAGTCAGAAAAAGGATGGAAGGCTGCTATTATTTAAAAAGTTTATTAGTTTGCATAGCTATGAAAATAATATGAATTAGCCAAACCCAAAGCATTTTTTAAATGAAAGCCAAAACTTTAATTTTTGTTTCCCTACTTAATTAAAAATTCTATTATAGTATTTTTATTTTTTATTTTTCATAATTGGCAACTTTAGAAGATAACTAAACATTGCAACATGACTTTTCTTTGTGAATATAGCCAATGACCTCCAACTTAGCATCCTATGATTTACTAGAAGCCAATAATGTATTAGTGTGATCCTCTGGAATTAAATTTCATGTTATACACATTGTAGCATTTTTATAGTCGGTATATGTTGTCCAATTTTTTTGGCTGAGTACTCAATGCCACTTCTGTCTTACGCCATTTCTATCTTTTCGTTTCTTGTAATCTTATTCATATGCTGTCATATAAAATTACTCTATTTGAGATTAATCTTGGGTTGGAGTAATTTGAGAATTACTTAAAGAGAACCATCAAAATAATCTTCTTGTTTTTTTCTTTCCCAACAATCTTTCAAAAGCATAAACAACAGCTACCAATACTACTGTTATGATTGAGACTAAGAGAAGCCTTGGTGATACAGAGAAAGGGGCAGAGGCAGCATTTGTTCCAGGCTTCTTCAATAGAATATCTCCTGTAATTTTTGCAGCTTTACCTACTGCACAACATCAGAGAAAGGTTGAGGTTGGAAATAGAGAACTATGAATTATCATTATTTAAATAGTGATTGATGCCATAGAAGTAAATGATACTGGGTAAGTATTTATAGTGAAAAATCTGCAAAGAACAAAACCTTAAGATCAAGGATTGTCAGATAAGGAGAAGCTAGGAAAGGAGAGTGAGGAATGATCCAAAATAGAAGAGAACTGGGAGAAAACAATGTTATGTGTAGCCCACATAAGAGTTTCAAGACAGAGAGGATAGTCAGAAGCATCAGTGCTGCTGGGAGGTCAAGACTAAAAATAGGCTCCTAGAGTGAGGACTAAAAATAGTCTTTGATTTGGCAACATGTAGGTCATCAGTGTAGTGAGGTTGAATAGCAAATTGTCATAAGTTGAAGAATGGGTAGGAGTTGTAAAAACTGGAATAACTGTTGTTTCAGGAAGTTTAGAGTTAAAAAAAGGCAAATAATTTTAATTGTGATTTTTTTTTTTAAGTGAGGGTAATATCAGAGTTGTTTGTATGCTGAGAATGAACCCGGGTAAAGGTGCAGGAGAAAGTGGGGATCGTTGATAGAATAATATTTCGGAGAAAGCCAGGCAGATAGAATAACAGATAGAGCAACAATATATAGGTAAAGAATGTAGTAGGGATGGAGAAGTATGGGCAATAGATACTCCTTTGCCTGAAATTAGAATGTGTGTGGTGAGGACCAGAACTATTATAAGTAAGGTTGGAGATAAATCTGAGAAAATTGAGCTGTTACATCAAAAGTTACCAAAAGTTTATTTTTATATAGTGAAATTTTTAAATACATCATCTTAATGAATATTTCATATCTATTTAGTGGCTTCCAGGGAGTTTTTTAGGATTGAAATTTATTTTTATTTGATTGCGATAGGAATACTTAACATGAGATCTACCTTTTTAACACATTTTTCAGGGTACAATTCAATATTGTTAACAGTGTACAATACAGCATAGGTACAATGTTGTACAGCAGATCCCTAGAACTTACTCATCTTGCATTACTGAAATTTTATGCCCTTGATTAGCAACTCCCCATTTCTCCCTCCCTCCTGCCTCTGGCAACCGGATCTGCTTTTGTTCCAGTGAATTTGACTATTTTAGTATACCTCATATAGGTGGAATCATGCAGTCTTTGTTCTGTGACAAGCTTTTCAGTTAGCACAATGTCCATCAGGCTTATCCATGTTGTTACATATTATAGGATTTTCTTTTTTCTTTGAAGACTAAATAATAATCCGTTGTACATATATACCACATTTTCTTTATCCATTCATCTGTCGACAGATATTTGGGTTGTTTCTACATCTTGTTTATTGT